CGCCGTCAAAACCGCCCGACAACAGCGCGCCGACAGAAGCGCGCTGTAACATAACCCTAAAAATAACCCTAAACCTAACCCTAACCCTAAACCTTACCTTAAGTTAAATCGCGCTTCTGTCGGCGCGCTGTTGTCGCGCGCTTTTGACATCGCAGTTTTAGCGCCGCGGTGTTGTCGGCGCGCTTTTGACTTTCGCGGTTATGTCATGCCACGGTAAATCCAACTATCAGTCAATCCATGGGACACATTCAAATCATCATGGATTGAATGTGCTGCTGAGCGAACTATATTATGCATTTGGTCCTTAATAGATTATTTCCATCTGAATTCTCACCAAACCCCAGTCATTCGATCTTAGGTGGGAGCCTCCAATGATGGTGCATTTCTTTTACAGCTATCAAAACTCATGCAATCACACTTAGACACCACCGTTTCCATTTTTATGGGTGAAAAAATACAAATGCTGCTTTAATAAACAGTAAAGCTGAGCTCCAAACAAACATTAGAATTGCAAATAATCTTTCGCTACATAGTCAGCCTGTTATGTTTAAATAATGTGGAGTTTGGTTACTTCTTGTCTGACAAATACCTTGAAATTATTGTTAGAAACTGCCCATTTTCCTCGTAGAGCGGCTCATAACTTTGAAGCGGGGATGAGTAGAGATATGTGAGAAACACACTGCAAATGTGAATGGCATTATTTCGGTGCTTCACCTATTATTATTTAAATTATATAATTAGTGGAGATGGTTTAACTTAAAGAAGTTCTGCAGCAACTAGTTGCATGAGCAATTGTGCAAGAAACTCCTGAGCAAAGGAGTTGCTTTTGTTACCTTTTGTAACCCTGGAAATAATTCCCAGTTGATAGGTGCTTCTTAAAGAACATGTCAGAAGAAGACAGAAAAATGCTAATTATATAGGAGAAGTTGTGGTTTCCTTTTCTAAAAAAAATAATATTGTGCTTATTTCAGGAAGTGGAATAAATCCAGACTTGCCAGTAAGGCAAGGCATGTGACTTAGTTTCACTTGATATAATTCTAATGTAAGCAATTTTCTTGATCCACCATTTTGGGGTGGGAAGGAAATGGAGGCTCTTTAAAGTTGAGGAAAGTGAGATTTCTATTGGAATTGAGATAATGGTGGTAATCTTAAAAGTGGGTGTTTCAGGACCTTTGCATGCCGCTGCTCCAACTATTCTAGGTTGCCTTAATTACAGTATATGTTTCAAATCCTTTCATAACGCATTCTTAGGGAAGTTTTTCACCTCTGTCCTTCCTCCAGAAAAGGGCAAGTTGTATCTGAGCCATTTGGGGAAATCTAAAGAGCATTTAATGGGCAGCCTCGGAGCTTGCTTTGGTGCTGATGTGTTCCTGCATTTCAAACAATGATTATAAAGGATTATTGTCAAGATATTTTGGAGGGGGGGAAGGGCAAAATTACTGGGAAAAGGAATTGCAAATTCCCTCCTATCTGGTTCATCAGGTGATAGTTTGCATGATCTGGATATTGGCTCCTGCCCTTACCTTTTCCTGTGCTAGGTGTGATCTCTCAGGCAGCAAAAGTCTGCCCATTTCTTCTTTTAGATAAGTTTGGAATTGCACTTCAGGAGGCAGCAATAAAAACAAAATTATGAAAAACTTAAGGATATGTTTGAAAATAGCAGTGGCTTGTTTCCTTTTCCACATAGAAGTTTGGTCGCAACAATACAAGGCAGATTTTCTAGTCAGATCCTCCTTATTACTGACTGCTGTTATCAGTATACTTTTCTGCATTGTACAGCATTGCACAATAAAATTTAATTAGACATTCCAGATCTATATGGTGGGCTGCTGGTTTATATAGTTATGGCCAGTTGTTAAGGCCAAGATGTTAATGAAGTAATGAAGTTTCTTTTGGAATATTTGGTATGTAAAAGCACCTTTTTGTTTTTAACTACTTAAATAATGATATTGTTGAATTTGGTCACCTCATAGGTCATTTCAAAGAACCAGTTACCATGGAGGAACTTCAGAGACACGCATGGTTTTTTTCTTTCAGTCATTAACTGTGCATATATTTTCATCGATTTCTTCAGTTCTCTGACCACTGCCAATCTATAAAATGACCTCTTCTCCCAATCTTAATTTTGCATAGATCCTTTGGTAAAGTGTTTCGAAATCTTATCAGAATGCTTGTTGACACTGTCAAACTCTTTATAGTTAAGATAGTCTTGTTGACTTTTTTTTTTTTTACCAAGACCTATCCCTCTGTTTCCAGCTTATTCAGAACAGGTATTAAATGGCCTATATAATATCCTTATTGGATATGTTTTTGTTATGTTTTTGTTACTGCTTTTTACTATTTTGTTACAGAGGGAAATGTTACAAATGTATATTTTTGTTAGAGGTTGCCTAATTCACATTCAATTTATTTTAGAACTCTGGTGTGGAATTTTTAGGCATTTAATCAATGCAAGGATGAAGATTTGTGAGAAGCTTAATGGCTTAAACTGTATTTAGACAAAAATACAGTTAAAATTAAAGCCATTCAGCTTCTTTACAATATATTTCTTCTGGAGATACTTTAATTCCTTTGCCAATCAGGGACTGAATATGACAACAGTTGAATTCACCAATTGGGGGGAATCAGGCTCTGATTCTCACATATGTGCTGGCCTGGAGACTATCAGAGTAGACGTTGAGTATAAATCAGATAAATTCCAAATTCAGTTCCTTATTATCAGCTGATAAAGACTGGTAGCAGGTTACTTTATGAGATAAAACTCAATGTGAGCACCTGAAAAATTACTTCCAAATCGCCTATGTTAAGTTGGTTCAGTTTAGCATAGTATTGTAATATATTCTATTGCCTTGAAATACCTAATTCAGTTAAAAGTGAAATAGTCATTTGATGCATGAGCATAAATGTAATATCGTGCATGCTATTTAAGCATTTGTGTTGTGTATGCATTTATTAGTGGTGTGGGAAGCAGAGGATTGCTATTCCTGTAGGACTACCTATAAAAACTTCCTGTTTGGCATCTTGCAAATGTGCCTCTCTATCTAATCGTTTCTAACTTAGTTTTTGCTTTACAGGGTCACATAATTTGCTCTAGACCAGGGGTCTTTCAGCCTTGGCAACATTAAGATTTGTGGACTTCAACTCCCGGAATTCCCCAGCCAGCCATGGAGACCCCTGCTCTAGAGAATGCTTTGACTTATTAGCCACTTCAGTGAGTCCTCACTTGAATTTAGGCTCATGCATAAATGCCTACTTACTTGATACTTGAAAGCTTAATGTCCAGTAGTTGAATTACTGATGAATGCATGCTAAATACTTGGGCACTAATCGACTTTCTAAGATCTATATTTCATGTTACTGGCAGAGGAAATTCAGAAATAACCTAAAGTGAAAAGTATCCATTGCAATCTGAATGGTCCTTCCAGGTTGTCCCTAAGAAGGATTCCTTTTGGGAGAAAGTCTGTTTAATTAGCTCACATGCTGCTTCATTAAATGGGTGGGGTGGGGTGGGGGGAGGAAGGGTTGCTGCAGAGAGAGAATCACTGCTATGTTCAGTGAGAGTTTATCAATAGCATTAGTGTTCTTTTGCATTACCTGAACAAACAAGATGTTAAGTCCCTCTCTACTTCATGCACTGCTTTACAGTTGTGAGTATATTATTAGAGGTAACGAATAAAATACAGGCTTTTATTGTATCCAAAATGGTTTGTCTCTGATCTGTGCTGAATTTTTTTATGATTCAAGCATTGGCCCCTTACAACATTTATGGTGGGGAACGGCTTGCTTTCCTGCCTGACCCCATACAAATATCTTTGTCTAAGCTGATCATCTAATGCAGAGGTCCCCAACCTCTGGATCATGGACCAGTACCGGTCCGTGGCCTGTTAGAAACCAGGCCGTGCAAGCAGCAGGTGATCAAGCGAAGCTTCACCTGAGCATGCTGGGGATCTAGGTTGTGCAGTGAAACCATCCCACCCCCCTAGTACATGAAAAACATTTTTTTCTTCTTAACTGGTCCCTGGTGTCAGAAAGTTGGGGGATCACTGATCTACAGTAATACACAATATTTGGTAAAATAATCACTGTCCCATTACTAGCCATGATGCAACTGCTGCCTGAAATGTTCTTACAGGGTGAAGCCTAAAGCCAGTAGCTTGCAAATAATTTGTATGGCTGTATACATTTTGACCGATACATTCTGCCAGTGCAGGATAACATGCCACGTGAGCAGAACTGCAGGGCAAGCTGGCACCAGTTCAATCGGATTGAATTTCCTTCCCTCTGTGTGTATGATGTGTTTCCAGGGTGTGAGGGCAAACTTTGGTAGGGCTGGCTAAAATACGGCAAGTTTCCTGTCTTCGTGATTCTCTGCATCATGTTCCTTTGTGTTGTAATGATTCTATGATGGGGTATTAGGGGACTGCCCTAGCATACTGTCTTTAGAAAGATAAATAAATGGTTCCTTTCATTCAATGGATTAAAGACCTGTTTACACTTATAAGCCTATAAAGATAGTTACTGAAACACCATTATTGTATATGAGAATAAATCAGATGTACATGAATAATGTAGATAATTCACAATTAATGTAAGCATATAATTCCCTCAGAATAAGTTATGAGTAAACTAGAATAATGTTGCATTTCATTCATCACCAGATCAGTATTTGAAAGAAATATGTTCTCTGTTAGCACAATGTTTTGGCCTATACAGCGTTTATTTAGATGCCAGTGACTATGAATTTGGTCCCTAATAGACTACAAAAGATCAACAGATTAATTATTGAGGGTGAAATAAAAAAGTAAGTTAATCACACCCACATCGCGTTAAAATGGTTTGCTAAAGAATTACCTCTATGTACTTTCCATATGCTTTCTACATCTCTCCCTACTGTTTAAAAACATCTGGTTCTAGAAGAGGATTTTATAATTGAAATCTCTCTCTGTTCTATAAATTCTCAGTGTCCTTAAAATATTTTCTTTCTTTTTTTTAAACTGTAGCACTGTCGCCATGATCTCTTATCTCACCTTATTAAAGATGGATTGCAGTTACTGATGGGAAGAAGTCCAATATGAGTGGAAATGATACCGGAGGAAGAAGACGCTTTGAAGACACAGAGCACACACTACACATCTACCCTGGGAACATTGCCGAAGGGACCATTTATTGTCCTGTTATTGCACGGAAAACATCTACCGCTGCTGAGGTGATAGACTCTCTGATTAACAAACTGCAGCTGGACAAAACAAAATGCTACGTCTTGGCCGAAGTGAAGGAGTTTGGTGGGGAGGAATGGATCCTCAACCCCACAGACTGCCCTGTCCAACGCATGATGCTCTGGCCACGGATGGCCCTGGAGAACCGCTTGAGCGGAGAGGACTATCGTTTTCTTCTGAGAGAAAAAAACCTGGATGGATCAATCCATTACGCCAGTCTCCAGTCCTGGTTGCAGGTCACCGAAGAACGGCGCAGAATGATGGAACGTGGCTTCCTTCCCCAACCGCAGTACAAGGATTACGATGATTTGTGCGCATTGCCGGATCTGAACGAGAGGACACTCTTGGAAAACCTTAGAAATCGCTTTAAGCAAGAAAAAATCTACACCTACGTTGGAAGCATTTTAATAGTCATTAACCCGTTCAAATTCCTTCCCATTTATAACCCTAAATATGTCAAGATGTACGATAATCATCAGCTGGGTAAGCTGGAGCCCCACATCTACGCGGTGGCTGACGTCGCGTATCATGCCATGCTACTGCGTCGGAAGAACCAATGTATAGTCATTTCCGGAGAAAGCGGGTCTGGCAAAACCCAGAGCACAAATTTCTTGATTCATCACCTCACCGCTCTTAGCCAAAAGGGATTCGCAAGTGGAGTAGAACAAATCATTCTTGGAGCTGGACCAGTGCTGGAGGTAATCTTAAAATCGTTCTGTACAGGTTGTCCTCAAACTTGAGTGGCCGTTCAAAGTTACAAGGGCAGTGGAAAAAGGGACTTATGGCTGTTTTTCACAGTTACGATCCTTTGCAGCCTCCCTCTGATCATGTGAACAAATTTCAGAAGCTTGGCAACTGGTTCATACTTATGACCGTTGCAATGTCCCACGGTCATGTGATCACCTTTTGTAACCACCTGACCAGCAAAGTCAATGGGGAAGCCGGATTCACTTAAGAACCGGTTGCAGTGATTTATCAACTGCAGTCATTCACTTAGCAACTGTGGCAAGAAAGGTTATAAAGGGGCAAAACTCATTTAACAAATGTCTCACTTAGTGACAGAAATGTGGGGCTCAATTATGGTCATAGGTCAAGGACTACCTGTAATTTATGATAAAAGTTTTTCTTCTCCATAAGATGTGCTGAAACAATTGGGTTTTCTAGTAATCAAATCATTATTCTCGTCTTGGAGCAATCGATAAAGATGTGCAAAGATTTCCTTCCTATTGTAAGGATTCTGCTAGTGAAATACATATGGAAAACATTAGGTTGGAATGTACTATATTTTTTTAAAATGCACCAAAGAACTCAGAGCAAGATCCACCGTCAATTCTCTTAAATCTTTTCTTTAAAAAAATTACAGATTATATTGTATATTTTCCACCCAAAATATAACATTATTGTAAAAAGATTTCAAATGAGAGGATTTGTCTGAGTCTTTTTGAACAACAGTGCCAAATATTGTATTATTAGGTATTAGGTATTATGCTCCATTTTTTTGTTGATTTTGATTTTTAAATCTGAAGAATGAAAAACCAGAACTGTTATAAATGGGCTTTTAGTTTGTTATTAGTGTTTGTGGATTAGCAGAGAACATTTCCCTCCCCCTCCCCCCCCCAAGTTCAAAGGAAGTAAATAGTCTTCATTCATGTGTGGATTTTTTTCCATTTCTTTGAAGTGTCTTTTAAATGCGATCTGCTCCATCTTATTTAAACTGCGAACAACTCTGATTAAGAACTAGGGCACAAATCTAAAACTGTCTGTAATTTGACATAAAATAGAAAACGTATCACTTCATACTCATTTAACACATTTATATGAAACAAACTGATTTAGCCATCCATCTACCAGAAGAAACTTGCATATATAAGTCCTCTTGTTCTACAATGAGCTGTAAAAATTATGTTAATTTTTACCTCTACTAAGTGTAGCCAATCATCCATTGTTAAAAGTTTAAAAAGTGACTTAATAATATATGAATGCACTATGAGGGAATACCTAGAATTGTGTTAGGCTTTACTGACCTTCCCAACTGATCACAATAGAAGAAACTTCAGTGATTGGTCACTCATGAGATACACACCAGTGTATTCTCCATCTCAGTTTAATATATTCCTAGTAATATAAGTAGATTGTATTTCTTTATAAAAATAGCATGTTCTGCCAACTCAGTTTCTGCCACAAGGGCAAAGGCACTGCATATACAGTATATTGGAGTCATCTGCTAAAATTGCTGATTTTAGCATTAAACATGATCAGAGTAAAAGCTTGATATGGGGCAAATTGCTGAGATCCTATATTCATTAACCTCTAAGACTTTCTTCCAAGGAAAGCTCTGGCTTTCATTGTTACTAACCTCATTTCTAATAGCCAAAATTGGGAAGGCTTGGGTGGACATCACACAGAACTTATCCAGAAAGGAATGGCCATTTTTTGCCAAATTTCAAAGAGAATAGATTTAAGATTATGAAACCTTGTGAAATCTTTTAATTTACAAATAAATTAATACATAAATATTCCCAAATATCAGTTATTGTCCCACTACAGTTAAAAATTGTGGTCCTTTTAGAAAGAAATCCAGAATCATAGTAAAATAATACCGATCTTTAAACGTTCTCCCAACTTAGTTCATATTTCAGGTTCACTAGGAGTATTCAATTGTTTGCCTGTTCAAATAATGTTTTTCTTACTTAATATCTCACTTCCTTACACACCACTGCTTATTTAACCGATCGTAACTGTTGCAAGGACGGCGATGTTTTAACCACACATACAACATAGTTTTATCTAAAGTGGAGAATAATTATTTTATGCTTCCTGTCTTCTAAGTTGCCGCTAACGATAGTTGACCTTTATTTTTAGTAAACACAAAGGGACCGCGTGGTAAGCAAAGCTGAATGCGTATCACAGAGATAGATAGCTTGTCTGCTAAATTTAGTAAGTAGAGAGCTTTGAGTATTGAAAATGTGTTTCTACAAAACTCTGTGAGAGAACTTTTCTTGATACAAGACTAGATGAAGATGCTGATATAGTTGCCTAATAATAGTTTTAAAGGAACAGGACCGTTAGTTCCTCATCAAGCAGGTTTATATTGGAGGATTAACAGTGGCAGTGGATAAGAATATCACATTTAAGGCCGAGATTATTTGTGTTTCTCTTGCATGACACCAGGTATTTCAAGCTATCCTGGAGCTGTAAAGCAAAAGATGATTAGGCAAAGGGTCGAATATTCCAATTTACGACTAGAATTGAGCCCGACGTTTCTGTGCTAAGCGAGATAGCTAAGTGCTTTTGCCCCATTTTATGACCGACCTTGCCACAGATGTTCAGTGAATCACTGCAGTTAAGTGTCTGGATTTTGATCACGTGACCATAGGGGTCCTGCAACCATCCTAAGCCTGAAAAAAACAGTCACAATTCACTTTTTTCTGTGCTGTTGTAACTTTTGAATGGTCACTAAACATGGTTGTAAACCATACTCCGGTTTTGAGAGGTTGGGCAGTGCTGAAGCATGGATTCTTGCTTAGTTGTTTTCTTGGTGTTACCTGCACAATTAAAAACCTTGGTAGTATTGTCAAGAGGAAAACGTTGATTGCTTTCATGCAGATTTCATCATACATTGGAAAGCTTCCATTCCCATTTGTCAGTTTGAAGGCAGGCAAGGTTACTTACTTTTCCAGTTTTGCCAGATGCAAGTGAGGGCAAAACCATAGGTGTTCTCCTTGATGTTTAACTAATCCTGAATCTCAACACAGAGTGCCTTTGCCCAGTATTCCACACCTTTTTATCATTAACTTTACATCCCAAAAAAACATATTTATGACTTCTTATAAGAGGCTTAGAATCAGTTTGAAGGATAGTTTTTTGGCCTCCGCGTTGTTCCCACATATGAATTTTATTCCAGTAAAGTTAATAATTACATTATTTTCATGTCTACTTTGTAGAGCACCTCTGGGAAGCCAGTATTTATTGTTGAACTGCCTCAATACTATTTTCCACATATAAACTGCATCCAACCGACTACTAGTTTGCTTTCCAAACCCAACTTCTATAGTTCTTAAGAGGAAAGTATCTCAGCTCCCCATATAGGGAACATATGTCCATTGATTATTGTTTCAGCATGTTAGGGGGCGTGTTAGCTATAACAGTGATATTCATCAAGAAATTATTAGAAGTAGATTTGGATCTTAGATATGCCCTCTAAAGGTGCATTGGTCTTTTTAAAAAAAAGCTCATTTGACTCCAACATCTGCACTTAGTTAGCCCCTCCCTGCTCAACCAGCATAAATGAGAGTGAATTTCCCTTTTTTCTACCTCCATTCCAGTTCTCTCTCCCTTCCCCCATCAACAAGATCCTGTTTGTATTAGCTGTTTTCTAGCCAGATCCATCAATCTCCCATCTTGCCATAGACTCTCGGTCTCTCTAGCTTTCTTCCTTATACAGCCCTGTTCCACGGCCCTCATCCTTGCTTACATTTGCATGATTCCTTGACTTGATTCGGAAGGTAGCACTTATTTCTGACGCATAACATTTTATTACATAAAAGACACGCACTCTCACGAGCTGCGGCTACCAGAATAGATCCATTCTTTTGGTTTTTTTGCCACCACATACTTACACAGCTTTTAGAGCATAAACTAACAGAGTTGGAAGGGACCTTAAAGGTTGTCTAGTCCAACCCCCTGCTTAGGTAGGAAACCCTGCACCACTTCAGACGAATGGATATCCAACTTCTTCTTAAAAACTTCCAGTGTTGGAGCATTCACAACTTCTGGAGATAAGTTGTTCCACTGT